TGGATTTTTTTTTTTATGAGAGAAATGAGAATAGTTTTTTTTTTTTTTTCTTCAAAACATTTGTTTGTTCATAGTGCCAAAAATAAAAAGCGCACAGGTGATCAAATACCACCAAAATAAAGCTCTATTTGTGTGAAAAAAAGTACATTTCATTTATGTACCTTATTGCATGACCGCGCAATTGTAAGTTAAACTAGTGCAGTGCTGTATAGCAAAAAAATAAAAAGGAAGTAAATTTTGTTTGGGTACAGCTTTGCATGACCGCGCAATTATTAGTTGAATTAGTGCAGCGCTGAGTAGCAAAAAGAAGTCTGGTCATTAAGGGGGGTTAATCCTCTGGAGGGCAAGTGGTTAATGGAATAAAGTTTGCCTGATATAGGTTCTTTATTGAGGAAGTTTAGCTTTATTCCTAAATGGCTTAATTCTCTTTCCCTCCATGCAAAAAGAAAATCTTTTTGAAAAAGTCTGTTTCTCTATCTTTGGAACATTTAATATTTTAATATCTCTGACTTTCAGGGGTTAAGTTTTCAAATTTGATAACTTTCCATAGTATTTTAATAATCTCATTAAATTGGGTAACCTTGTGTACGCCGCTACCTTGTTTTCCATGTCACCTATCCTAATTCCTGTTACATCTACACTCTCTTACCATCGCTAATAGTGGTTCCAGAGATGTTACAAATAACAGAGGGGAAAGACATCTGTCTTGTACCATTTATACATTTTAAAAAACTGTGATAGGGACCCGTTGACTTTTGCAGCTGCTGACGGGCTACTATATAGCCCTTTTATCCACTTTTTAACATTTTGGGCCCTAGTCCTAGTGCCTCTAACGTATCTCCATAAGCCCCCAGTCTACCCTGTCAAAAGCTTTTTCAACATCAATCGACAGGATTACCATTGGCAACTTCTCTCCTTGTTTTTTGCAGAAGGAGCAGTGATCTCAGACCATTGTCCCTCCCTTCTCTGCCAGGATTGAATTCCACTTGATATAAGTGTATCCACTCCGGCATCAGCTCTTTCATTCTAGTTGCTAGTACTTTAGCGTATAATTTTTCTGTCTGTTTAATAATGATATAGGTCTATAGCTGGCTAACTGTGATCCATCCTTCCCTTTTTTTAGGTATAATTGATATATATGCTTGCAGCGATTCTTCTCTCATCTCCAACCCCTCTCCTAAAGTGTTCATATATGTGCATATTTTGGGGACCGATATTCTTTAAATTTCTTATAAAATCCCACAGTATATCCATCAGGTCCGGGACTCTTTCCTGCAGCCATACTCTTCAATGCTATAACAATTTCCTCCTGGGAGATCGTTCTTTCTAAAGCTAATAACTTTGCTTCTGACAATCTTGGTAAGCCGGCCTCCTTTAAATATGTCTGTCTTTTTTTTTTCTTCCTCTGTTTCTTTCTGGTTCTTAGAATTTACTCCATACAACCTGCTGTAATATTTTTGAAACGTGTTCGCAATATCAGTGGTGGAATGCACCATTTCTCCTGTTTCATCTTTAATTTTTTTCTATAAAATTCTTTGATTTCTTTTCCCTTAACTTTTTAATAAAATATTTTCCTGGTCTATTCCCCCACTGATATCTTTCTTTTGAAATCCTATTAAAAATCCTCCTTTCCTGTTCCATAAGAGCTTTTAGCTCTTCTCTTATGAGAGTTATCTTCTGATGTATATCTAAATCCATTTTTCTTTTTATGTAGCTGTTCTAAATTATATAACTCCTTTGTCACTAACCTTATTTTCTTCTGCCGATCTTTCTTTTTTCCGCCCCTGTTGAGATCAGGATTCCCTTGATATATGCCTTGTGTGCCTCCCAGATTGTATTTGAGACTGAGGAGGTATCCGTTGCTACAAAGTATTGCTCTATTTCCTTCTTTAATCTTTTGTATAAACATCTCATTTATTCCCCACATAGTTATTTTATTCCGCTCCTCTCCCACCCATAGTCTCATTTGTGTCAGGTGCATGATCAGATATAGACATTACTTCTATGTTAGATTTTACCAGTGATTCCAAGTGTCTATGCTTAATCATTATATAATCCAATCGTGAATACATTCCATGTGCTGGGGAGAAAAAGGTATAATCTCTTTCTCTTGGGTGTTTAACTCTCTAAGTGTCAATCAGTTGACATTGATGTAACATCTTTTTCACAGATTTTAGTTTTTTACCACCATCTCTTTTGCCACGCGATGACGTGTCCATCCATGGATCCATGCAGAAATTAAAATCTACTGCCACAATCAGACTACCCCTCTTAAAATCTATATATGTTTTCTTAGCATACCATCGAGTTTTTATTCCGAAAGTAAATGTTAACTACTGTACATTCTAGTCCTTGAAGGTTTCCTCTCAGAAATAGAAACTGACCCTCTGGATGCACCAGTCTTTCTTCCAACGTGAATCTTACATTTTTTTGAAAACCCAATTGCTATTCCTTTGGCTCTTTTTTTTTATTGGTGACTCATATTACCAGGTTGGATAATACCTCAAGTATAACTTGACATTTGTATCTTGAGATATGTGTCTCTTGTAGAAACACTACATCTGTAGAGTATTGATGGATTTCCCTAAGAATCTTATGGGGGAAAGGATTAAACACTCTGACCAAAAGACATAAGTCATGAAGCTGATCAAACTCATTTCTGCTGCCATTTTTCTTCTCCCCTAAATTTTCATTTGGAGGGATAGTAATATAGACGATTTTGTACATGGAGATTTCTCCATGTACTGCCATTTGGCAGTTCCTGGAAAATTTTCAAAGAGCCTCAAGTTTCTCAATGGATGCCTTTTTTATAAGATTCCATACGGCAACCTTTTATGGGTGGGCATCATTGTGCTGGTCAGCGGAACTTCACTGTCAGAAGTAAATCGAGAGGCTGCTCTTTGAGGGCAAATTTTTGTTTTGTACCATTCTTGGATACCTTCATCTAGATGGTGACTGGGTGGGGTGGAAAGCATACTCTCACCCCTAAAGAAAGCAAAACTGTAAGGTCAGATATCAGTGATGCCTTCAGAATCCAAGGATAGTTCCCATTTGTAAAAAACAAGCATTGGGCTCTGAGCAGAAGCCTTACCCTTAGTTCTGCAGGAAAAACTGGATCCCTAAGCCCTCCAGGTCCAGGGGCAAGTCCTCGTTCAGTTTGTCTGAGTGTGTTGAGGACTTTGGTATCCCCATTATGGGGTAACAGGATTATCTGCTTCTCAGAAAGCAATTGGTTGAGAAGCTGATGTTAAATCCAGTGGATGGTACAAATCTTGGAAAGGTTTGGTTACTCGAACCTTCAGAAGCCATTATTGGTTCAGACACTATGCCTAAAGTATTTAGGCTTGGTCTTTGATATGGCACAGGTGAAGACATTCCTTCTGCAGGAGAAATGCCCATCTCTTCAATCTCGAGTCGATTTGGGTCTGCGTGAATGTGCTGAGGAAGATGGTAGCGCCTCTGATGCCGTCTGCTATGCCAAATCTCACTTCAGAGATCTTCAGCTCAATATCCTGTCAGTATGGGACGGATGTTGGGAGTCCTTGGATCTGGAATGGTGGATATCCAGATGCTGGAAAATCCTTACTTCCAATGAATTGGAAGGCTTTGACAATGGGTGCCAACCTGTCAAACCTCGACAGTGTTCAGGACACGCTTTTGATTAAGGGAACGTGTCCGTCAGAGAAGCAAACTTCAGAGTCTCCTCGTTGGGGTGCAGTCAGACAATGCTACACGTGTGGCATTCATCAGTCAAGGAGAGACAGTATGTCGCACTGCTTAGAAAGAAGCAGACCCAATTCTTGTCCACATATTCTGGCTCCTTCCGCTGTTCACATTCCTGCTGTGGAAAATTGGCAGGCAGACGTCAAGAGAACGGGCCCTTAACCGAGAAGTTTGTCTGTGGTGGGAGATGCTGGATGATTTAACTGTTACCCTAGAGCTTTGTTTCGACAGTCTGATTTCCTGTTTGTGTACTGCATGAGGGGTTCTTGTAAGGATCGGCTGGTTGGGTAGGCTGTACGGGGGCCCCAACAGCCCTGAGTGACAGCATAACCCAAGTAGTCATTAATTTTGAAGACTTGTGATGTATTTCAAGAATGGCATTTCAGAGGTAACATAAATATCCTAAATTTCAAGATGGTCATATATGCCTGACCCACAAAACCAGACTTGTCTGGCCTAGTGGATCACAAATCCAGCATGGAGTCAGGAAGGCATGCCTCAGATTTTTGCCAGTGTGTGAGAACAAACCTCTTTACTTCAGCTCTGCTGTGTAAAATTGTAACCTAATTTTGCTAGAGCCTTTTTTTCCCCCCTTTCTTTTTTCATTTCAATCGGTGCGTCTACATCACTGCTAGTGATGGTCTCTTTTTGATTTCAGCTATTCTGTGCGGTTCCCCTCCATCTGGCTTTTGAAGACCCTAATTTTGAACCCTACTTGACTTTGCGAAGCTAGCCTGGAAGTGATCTTTAGGCCCCTGGCTCCACATAAAGTGCTTTCTGGATTCCATACGGATAAGAACTGGCCTCAGAGTACTTTCCAGGTCCATAGTCCTAGGCATTGCCTCAGAGCTTGCCCTGTCACTGCACTCATTCCTTGAGTAAGCCAATCTGGCTGAGCGCTAGGAGCTACCTTATTTACTTAGGTTTCTGGGTGCCGTTTTGAATTTCTACTTTCGCGGATTTCTGTAAAATGCTTTGCTTGGAGTCCATTGAGGTGCACAGGTTGCACCTCTCCATTTATGATCATGCTCTTTTAATACTGCTTTTCTACAAAACTTGAAGCATTTTGTGTCTGTTCGTCCAGTGTTCAATCCTGTATGCAGCACATTCTAGCACCTCATTTAGATAATAAAGATTGGCAGGTAATCCAGAGCTACATGTTTTTTTGATTGCTAGTCAGATGTGTAAATGCGCATGTTGTACATTGTCATTTAGAATTGCAGATGTTGAGAATCCTTGATTTACTGTGGTTTTTGTTTTTTTTTTTTTTCCTTCAGTTGCTTGTCAAACGCAGTTGTCATTACCAATTGACTTCAATCTGGAGCGAATACTAGGTGAGTACTGATAGTTTGTATGTTTTCTCGTTCAAAGTCAGATCATTCCTCTGCATCTGTATAGTAAGAGACTGTAAGATGGATATTTCTCACATACCCCCCCCCCCCCCTTCCTTTTTTTTTTTTTTTTCCTTTTCCTGCATTATGTTCTGGTACAAATTTTAAAAATAAGCTTTATTATACACAAAGACCAGTGCATGGTTGTAACAGTGGGAAAGGTTTAAAGCCCCAATTGGGGGTTTTGGATATCCAGGGCTCCATTGGGTTTTCACTAACTGTCACACTGACTGTGTTAGGGTTCTGAGGGATTTGTGTGGTGTGTGGCTTTTTTTTTTATTTCCTCTCCGCTAAAACCCTTGGGACAGGAAGGATCTCTCAGAGCCCTGAAAAGCAGTAAAAACTCAACAAGGGTTCTAATCATTTCCCCTCTTTATGAAAACTTACCTTTTTTTTTCTTTTTGCAAGATAAATTTTAAACAACATTTTTCCTTTTTCAAAGGTGTGTACTTTAAAACAGAAGAGCATGCAGATCAATCTCAGGAAAGCTTAAGCACCTCATCACTTCGAAGAAAGCTATTTTTGGATGGACAAGTCAGTGGATCAGAGTGTCCTTCACCCTCCTCTCCGCCATCAGCCACATATGATGCTCCCCCCAGCCTCTCTGGGAGTTCTGTGTTCAATAGATCTATCTCCTGTCCGATGCAGAAGCCCTATGCAAACTCCCAGTTCGGTAATGCTCTGTTCACACACCATTTCTGTGTTAGAGACTGTTACCCAGATCATTAACTTGAAACAATCCTCCCATAAGATTATATGTGCAGTTATTGTATTGTAGTCATGTCTTATCTAAAATCCTTGACAATTCTGGAAACTGCTATCTTGGATGTGATGTCAGCAGACTTGGAGCTGTCAGTCTATTAATTTTAGTATTTCCCTTTAATGCCTCCTCTAGCAGCTACATAAGAGGCAATGGTAGTAGTGGGGGGCCTTGGCCAGCACAAAGAGTAATAGGACACTCCTAGAAGAGGAGAGGACTATGACGGGTTAGTCAAATTTTCTAGCAAGTTCAAAGGTGCTCAGAGTGAGTTTAAAAAAAAAAGAAAAATGGCAAAAAAAAAACTGCAATTAAGCATTTTAAATTTTTTTTTTTTTTTTTTTGGTTTTTTGGTTCATGACTATCCATAATGAAGCAGAATGCTGAATGATTTCTACCTTTTTTTTTTTTTTTTTTTTTTTTTTTGCCATCTGTGTCCCATTGCGGAGATTTCCTCTCAATTCCTATCCCAAGAGCTTTTATTAAATCTAAAAATCAAGGAATGCTATCATCGTTTAAACATTACAAGATAATGTAACAGAATATGCAAAAAGGAAATAAAGGTTGCAAAAATTGAAAACTAACAGATTGTAAAAGATAGCAGGACAAACCCCCAAAAATTCTTCAAAATATATTAACCACTTCAATACCGGGCACTTTTACTTCCTTTCTGCCCAGGCCAATTTTCAGCGTTCACGCTTTGAATGACAATTGCGCGGTCATACAACACTGTAGCCAAACTAAAAATGTATCATTTTGTTCACACATCTAGAGCTTTCTTTTGGTGGTATTTAATCAGCACTGGTGTTTTTTATTTTTTGATAAAATAATAAAAAAAAAACCAACATTTTTTTTTTAAAAAAAAAGGTTTTTCTTTTGTTTCTGTTATAAAAGTTTGCAAATAAATTGTTTTTCATACATTTAGGCCAAGATGTATTCTGCTACATTTCTTTGGTGAAAATAACCAAAATTAGTATTTATTATTAAGTCTGTAGGAAAGTTATAGAGTTCACAAACTATGGAATATATCTGAAAATTGATCAATCCTGAAGTACTGACAGCCAATGTAAGTTCTTGAGGCCCAAAAATGTCAGAACAGTACAGATATCCCCCAAATTACCCCTTTTTTTTTTTGCAAAGTAGACAGTCCGACGTATTTCATAAGAAGCATTGTGAGTTTTTTGAAGTTGTAATTTTTTCGGAAAATGAAGAAATTAAAAAAAATTTATACTGTCTCTAGTGCAGTTCAGCGTCGTCATATAACTGGTGTGGTGGTGATCAGGGACACTGCTGACAGTACGAAAAAAAAAAATTGCTAATTTCTTTTTCGTTTTTTATTACGTTTTGTTTTCTTTTTTTTAAGATTTTTTTTTTTTTTATATTTCACTATGACCAAAGTAGTATAATGTTATCATAGTAACATTGTACTACTTTGTGGAATTGAACAGTGTTTTTTTTTTTTTTTTTTTTTTGTTTTTTTTTTTTTTTGCACAATTTGCTTATAGCAAAGAATTTATTTTGCTATAGGCAAGCATTTAACTGAATGAAATCGATTCATTCAGGTTTTTTGTTGTGATTAGCCACGGCTGATCACATGACATAGATGGGCTGCGATTGGCCCAGCCTGTGCATGTGATCGCTGTGACCATTCACAGCTAGACAAACTTGTATACAATGGATGGCTTTCTTTCATGCCAACCATTGTATATAACTGTCATGTAACCTGCTGTGATTGGTCACATGGTACTGGCAATGGGGCCGGTACACAGATCTGTCATCGGCCGTGTTCGAGGTACACGGCCGGTATTAGATCTTGCCACAGCGCGGCCCTGCGGGTACGGCAATGCGCAATCCGGGAAGGACATCATATGAAGCCCTCCCGGAGGGATGAAGTGTTCGCCCAGCTGTCATTTGATTATAGGCCAGGCGGCAACTGGTTAATAGTAAAAAGGTCCGGTCCGAGATTACTTGCCAGCGCTCAGTGATTGCCGAGTATCTCCGGGGAGGAGAACTGTTTGTAAACAAAACAGTTCTCCCCTGTCAGCTCGTGCACACTTCTTTGCATGGCTGTGCACAAGCCATGCTAAGCAGTGTGCTTACAGTGAAGCACACGGACACAGCACTATGTAAAACCGCACACAGTAAACCCTTTGATCGCCCCTCATGTTTACCCCTTCCTGCCCAGTGCCATAGTACAGTGTCCGTGCTTTTTTTTTAGCACTGATCACTGTATTGGTGTCACTAGGGAAGTCCGTTCCCCCCCAGTGTCAGAATGCCCGCCGCAGTCCCAATTTAAGTCGTTGATTGCCGCCATTTCTAGTAAGAATTTAAAAAAAAATAAAAAATCCCAGTGTACATAACATTTTTAAATGCTATAAATTTAACATAAACCAATTAACTTACCGTATTTTCCGGCGTATAAGACGACTGGGCGTATAAGACGACCCCCTACTTTTCCTGCTAAAATGTAGTGTTTGGGCTATACTTGCCGTATAAGACTACCCCTCTTCCAATGCACACCAGTGGGAGGAATAGTACCCCATCATCGGTGTCAGTGGGAGGAATAGTGCCCCATCATTGGTGTCAGTAGGGGGGGGGGGAATAGTGCCCCATCGTTGGTGTCAGTGTGGGGGGGGGGGGGGGAATAGTGCCCCATCGTTGGTGTCAGTGTGGGGGGGGGGGAATAGTGCCCCATCGTTGGTGTCAGTGGGGGGGGAGGAATAGTGCCCCATCGTTGGTGTCAGTGGGAGGAATAGTACCCCCCATCATTGGTATCAGTGACACCAATGATGGGGCACTATTCCTCCCACTGACACCAATTACACTTGCTGACCCTGTTCTAGTATGGTGCTGCTGCAGCCAGCATGTGTGGTTGCAGCAGCACCTCTACACTGCACACTTACCTGCTGCTCCTGCACTCGACTTTCGTGGGGCCGCTCGGCTCCGCCCCCTCGCCGGTGATTAACCGCCTGTGTGCCTTTCCTGAGCTACAGTTCTGGCGGCCAATCACCGGTGAGGAGGCGGAGCCGAGCAGCCGCGCGAACATCCAGTGGCCGAACTGAAGGAGCAGCCACGCTTCCTGGACTGGATCGTCGTGGGACCGGATCCAGGTAAGAGACAGCAGCCCCTGCCCACCCCTGTACTTAGTGTCCCTTCCGTTGGAAAGGGGGGGGGCGGCGGTGGCACCACCCGCGCCGCCCCCCTAAAAAGTGTCAGTATGCCGGCGTATAAGACGACCCCCGACTTTTGAGAAGATTTTCAAGGGGTAAAACTTTTAGTCGTCTTATACGGTACATGTATTTTAGATTTTTTTTTTTTTTTTTTTTTGTAGCAAAGACATACCAGAATACATTTATTATTAAATTTATCATGAAATTTGATTTTTTAAAATGTTTTTACTGGACATGTTTTAATAGCAAAAAGTCAAAAATATCTTGTGTTTTTTTTTTTTTTTTTTTTTTAAATCGCAAAAAAAAATTTAAACCACACAGGCAATCAAATACCACCAAAAGAAAGCTCAATTCGTGGGGGAAAAAGAACGTAAATTTCATTTGGGTTGCATGACCACGCAATTGTCTGGTAAAATAACGCAGCGCCATAACACAAAAAATGGCCTGGTCAGGAAGGGGGGTAAAACCTCATATGGAATATGCAGTTCAGTTTTGGGCACCAATTCACAAAAAGAACATTGGGGAACTGGAGACAGTACAGAGAAGGGCAACCAAACTGAAAAGAGGCATGGAGGAGATCAGCTATGAGGAAAGATTATAGGAACTGAATTTATTCTCTCTTCAGAAGAGATTAGGGGGAATATGGTCAACATGTATAAATACATCAGTTCATATAGTGAACTCAGGGTAGAGCTATTCACTCTGAGGTCATCACAGAGGACAACTGAGCACTCTTTACATCTGGAGGAAAAGAAATGTAATTTCCAAAGACGGAAAGGTTTCTTCACAGTGAAAGCTGTGAAAATGTGGAATAGACTCCCTCAAGAGTTGGTTCTGGCTAGCTCAGTGGATTGCTTTAAATAAGGCCTGGATTCTTTCTTGGATACACAGAATATAACTGGAAACTAACATTTTGGCCTAAATTTTATAACTAAATTAGATTTTTATTTTTTTATTTTTTTACTGGACATGTTTAATAGACAATTTTGAGGAAAAAAAATATTTTTGACTTTTTGCTGTTTCTTTTTTTTTTATATATAGCGCAAAAAATAAAAACGGCACAGGCGATAGTAGTGAAAGCCATTGGCTCCTACTGCTGTCAGTCTTAGCCAATAAGAAGCGAAAGGCTCCTATGCACATTGCTAGATTGCGATGGGGCTCATGTAAGTATTGGGGGGGGGGGGGGGGGGGTTTGGAGCTGCTGCACAGAAGGGTTTTGTTTTTTTTTTTTTTTTTGTTTTTTTACCTTCAGTAAAAGAACCTTGAGCCTTTACAACTACTTTAAATGATTTCCTTGGGGACTTCCAGGTCACCAGAAAAATGATTTTTCTTGGGGACTTCCAGGTCACCAGAACTAGTGTTCCAATGGAGGATTTCCCCTCTTCTTCTTCCTTTTTTTTTTTTTTTTTTTTTTAACTTTTCCTTTCAATGATAATGTTAAACAGGACAAACAGAGAGAGTGAATCTCCTTTAATGAGGGCACAGACCGCTAAAAAAACTGACAGGTGTTATAATTCATCTCCACTCTGTCCAAAACTGGGGAGAAAAAAAAGTTTTAGCCTTTGGGTTATACTTTTAAGCTGGCCATACATGGATAGAAATTGGATCAGTTCAGTAGGTACTGGCCCAATTTTGATCCATGTATGGCTGTTCCTGTTAGGAGTGGATCTAGTGATCCACTCCTTCTTCCAAACAGGACTGTCAGTATGTCCGTATATTTCAGTGTGGAGAAGTCCCGCTGCCAGAATTCAATTGTGCGGGGCTGAGGATTCCCCATCCACCGCAAATGGTGTAAAGGAGGGGGAATCTACCAGCAATCCATGATGCAGTATAATCTTCACAGCTCTTGAGCATACACAAGTGTGTGTGTGTGTGTTTATTATAACCTGCAGTTGTGGACAGGATGCAAACCATATGCATATTTGTTAAAAATCATTGTTTTTTATATTTATATATATATATATATATATATATATATATATATATATATATATATATATATATATATATATATATATATACTATTGTGAGAACCTGAATCTGTTCTGTTATCTGCTTGCTGTAATCACAAGTACAGTAGGATTTAGACTCTGAGAAGTAGGGGCAGTACTCACTGAGTCATTCAGAGCTCTTGTGCTTTTTTTCAATCTGTCAAATATGTGAATGTATTGTTGGGTTTTTTTGTGTGAATGTTTGTGTTTTTTTTTTTTTTTTTTTTTTTTTTTTTTTTCTTTTTTTTTTTTTTTAATGCGTGCAAAGGGATGACCTGCCTGATAAAGTTACAAACCATTTTGGCAAACTGTTTACTTGTATGTAAGTTGTTTGTTTTAACTTTCTCCATTGACTTCGGCTTAACGCTGAAACAGTTCTATATAACTAATTTAAACTAATTTAATTTAAAGGGACAGTTTTCTTCAAGTCCAATTCAAGGTGGACGAAGAGCTTTCAGTCTTGGGAGCATAGCAAGCCCCACATTTTTTGAAAAGTCGCCCCCAAGAGACTTGTCGCCAACATTCTCTCCAATATCGACAGATAATGGAAAGACACCAATAGCTGGTAAGTATGTGAGAGGTTTGGAATTGTAAATACTGCTTAATATAAAGTCCACTTAAAACTGATAACTCCCGTTTTAGGAAGGCATCAGTGTAATCGCCAGCTGTTTTTTTTTTTTTTTTTTTTGTTTTCCCCCCCAAGGATTCTCAGTAGTTTGTATCTCTGCCATAAGGATATAATGTAGGTTTATATATTCTATCCTTCACACAGTTGTTTAAAAAAATGAGGGGGAGGGGGGGGGGTGCACGAAGGGTGTGTGTAGTTTAATTTTTTTTATGAAGAATATGATCACCACCTGGTCTTTGTTTGTTTCGGTACACCACCAAGTACTGTAAATCAAAAAATATGTTGTTTTGTTTTTCTCAAATTGCTCAGACCAATCGGGGCATCCACCACAAAAGAAGAGACTACAAATGTGGTGTGATTTAATCAGATTTTTAAAATCTATGCTGAAATGATTAAATGTACTACCTGTCCATACATCTCCCTTTCCTCCAATGTGAACCAAACATTAAAGTGATTCTAAAGGCTTCAATTAAAAAAAAAAAATCAAACATGTCTATACTTATATGCTGTGTGCAGTGGTTTTGCACAGATCCTCCTCTTCTTGGGTCTTTCACCGGCGCTCTTGGCCCTTCCCTCCTGTCGGGTGCCCCCCACATCAAGCAATTTGCTATGGGGGCACCTGAGCATGCGCATTCCCCAGCCACTGCTTGCTGTGTCCATTCACTCACGGAGCCGTGGCTCAGCCCCACCCCCTCTCTTCTCATTTGCTCACTTTCTGTGATTGACAGCAGCAGAGCCATTGTCTCAGCCAATGAGGAGAGGGAGTCCCAGGAAAGACGAGACTCCAGTGCACATCGCTGGATCGAGAGTGGGCTTAGGTAAGTATTAGATGGGGCTGGGGGCGATGTTACAGAGAGAAGGGGGGGTGTCAAAGGACACAGAGCTGGCTCGGGTGTGAGCATGCAGAAGCCCCCCATAGCAAGCAGAGCCAGGAGCATTGATGGGGGACACAAAAAAAAGGAGGATCAGGGCTCCTCTGTACCAAACTTGCACAGAGTAGGCAAGTATAACATGTTAAATAAATAAAAAGTGACGCTTTACAATCACTTTAACCACTTTCCGCCCCACCACAGTACATGTCTGTGCTATGATTGGTCATAACGATCACATGATAACAATGTAAACCTGTCATGAATGGGGTCCTCTTCATGAACAGCTTGCTTACTGTTGTGATCTGTGATTGACCCACAACAATCACATGGTACCTGGCTACCTGCACCATACAATTTTAGCTTAGTTAATTGGAAACCCATTTATGACGGCTAATGCTTAGCAGTTAATCTTCACTGTATAAGCAATAACAATGGGGAAAATAAAAAATCCCTGATTACACCCCCCCCCCCAGAGTAGTACAATGTCATTATGGTGACAATGAGCTACCGTGATGAAAAACAAAATTCTGTGCGTGCATACGCATTTAAAAAAAAAAGAAAATTAAAGGAACACTTTAACCACTTGCCCCCCCCCCCCCTTCCTAACCAGGCCATTTTTTGTATTTCGACGCTATGTTAATTTTACTGACAATTACGCAGTCATGCAGTTCCGTACCCAAATGAAATTTCCTCCTTTTGTTTTTCCCACAAATTGAGCTTTCTTTTCGTGGTATTTAGTTGCCTGAGCATCTTATTTTTTGCACTATTTAAAAAAAAAAAAAACAATTTTGAGAAAACAATATTTTTGACTTTTTGCTATTAAACTTGTACAGTCAAAAATTAAAAAAATTCTAATTTCTTCATAAATTTAGGCCGAAGTATATTCTGCTACAGGTCTTTGCTAAAAAAAAAAATCCCAATATGTGTAAATTAAATGGTTTACGTGAAAGCTTTAGCTTTTACAAATGGAGGTATAGATACTGGAATATATAAAATATATTTTTTTTCTAGTAATGGCAGTGATCAGGATTGCAGCAGGCATTATAACAATGGAGGGGACTGACTTCGTGTCACTGACTTCCCCAGTGACACCAATACAGTGATCAGTGCTAAAAAAAAAAAAAGCACTGACACTGTACTAATGGCACTGGGCAGAAAAGGATTTTAAACATGAGGGGTGATCAAAGGGTTAACAGTGTGCTGTTTTACTTGTGTTTGTGTTTCACTGTAATCACACTGCTTTGGACTGCACAAGCTGACAGGAGAACTGTATTGTTTGAATACAGTTCTCCTCCCCGCCGGAGATGCACGGCAATCACCGGCTGGGACTCTGTGATTGGCGGCACCTGTAGGGCACGCGCCCCCTCTCCGGAAATGCAAATATATATATATATTTTCACATGCACGTGCTTTTGCGCACCCATGCTGCCTTGTAGCAGTATATCTACTATAGGGCGTTCAGGAATTAGTTAATCAGAGTATAGCATCAAGTCAGTTTAACAACCCCCTCTGCTACTTAACTGACAGATCAATATCCCAGGAGTTTAGCAGTTTCAGCTGCTTTGGTGTTAATGAAATTAACAGGTGCACTGGATGGGAAACAATGAGACGACCCCCAAAACAGGAATGGTTTTACAGGTGCTCTGTAGGTTGATTTTCATTTCCATCAAACGATGGGACATCCTTCCATTGCTAACACATTACCCAGTCCATATCAGTATAGATATCCTGCATGATATTTTTCCCCATTGAGAGCCGATGTGTTTTCAAAGTGTTCCTTTAATTTTTTTTGAGCAGTGTATATAATATTATACACTATATATTGCCAAAAGTATTGGGACACATGCTTTTACATGCACATGAACTTTAATGGCATCCCAATCTTGCCCAATAGGGTTCAATATTGAGTTGGCCCACCCTTTGCAGCTATAACAGCTACAACTCTTCTGGGAAGGCTGTCCACAAGGTTTAGGAGGGTGTCTATAGAAATGTTTGACCATTCTTCCAGAAGCGCATTTGTGAGGTCAGGCACTGATGTTGGACGAGAGACCCCGGCTCGCAGTCTCCGCTCTAACTCATCCCAAAGGTGTTCTATTGGGTCGAGGTCAGGACCTTTCTGTTTTGGACATTTTTTTTGTGTTTATATTAGGGTGTGTTTTTTATATATATATATATATATATATATATATATATATATATATATATATATATATATATATATATATATATATATATATATAAAATATTTTTTTTTTTTTTTTTTTTTTTTTTCTGCACGGCTTGAGATATTTTCATTGCACTTTATGCATGTAGATATATTGATTTGACATTTGTATTTCTTATCATATTGTATATTTGCACGGTATGTGTTGTGTGTTTTCACATATTAGTTGAGTTGCCTGGTTCATTTATATATGGGATATATGTGTGTGTGTTATATGACACTGTATGTGGGGTACACTATCCTGTGTGATTTATAGCACCTATAACAGTCCCAATAGGATTATTGGACTACTCACGATCACGTGAATATTGGACAATCAGTCCAGATTGATAGGAGTGTTGTTTGGTTCAGTGCTGTTTTTGCACATACACTGTGTTTAGGCAATATTTTTATTTATTAGGTTATGCATGTTAATTTGTTCACTCATGTTTATTTGGCATTTATCACATGCACCTTAATATCACTTGATTTATGTATTAATTATATTTGTCACATTGTGGATATTTACATGCACGTGTGTGTGTGTGTGTGTGTGTGTGTGTGTGTGTATGTATTATTTAAAAAAAATTTTGTATATCTATGGTATAGTTCTTAATAGCGCCACATCATTTCATTTTCTTTTTCTGTGTGTGTGAGTAGAAGATATAGATCTTCTTCTTGTGCAAGACCCGTGAGTGCCTCCTTAACCAGTTTTAAATATTTCTAATTTTTTTTTTTTTTTTTTTTAATTAAATGTATGGTCATCCATTCCTGCTTGCTGCCACACCAGTCATGCAATGACGCTGTACTGCACTGGTGACAGTATGTAAACAAAAAAATGTTTATATAAATGTATTTAATCATCTTACAAAAAAATTACAACATAAAAAAAAACTTGCAAAGCCTCTTACTAAATACCTCAGACTGTCTACTTTCCAAAAAGGGGTACCGTAATTTGAGGCTATATCCGTACAGTTTATTTATATACAGTTGCAAGAAAAAGTATGTGAACCCCTTGGGATTACATGGAGTTTTGCATGAATTGGGCATAAAATGTGCTCTGAACGTCATCTAAGTCACAACAATAGAACACAGTCTGCTGAACATAATACTACACAAACATTAGATGTTGCCATGGTTTAATTGCACATAACATGTAAACATTCACAGTGCAGGGAGGAAAAAGTATGTGAACCTTTGGACTTAATAACTGGTTGACCCTCCTTTGGCAGCAATAACCTCAACCAAATGTTTCCTGTAGTTGCAGATCAGACCTGCACAACAATCTGGAGTAATTTTGGACCACTCCTCTTCACAAAACTGTTTCAGTGTAGCAATATTCTTGGGATGTCTGGTGTGAATCGCTCTCTTAAGGTCATGCCACAGCATTTCAATGGGGTTGAGGTCAGGACTCTGACTGGGCCACTCCAGAAGGCGTATTCTGTGCTGTTGCAGCCATTGTTTTGTTGAATTACTTGTATGCTTCGGGTCATTGTACTGTTGCATCACCCATCCTCTGTGGAGCTTCAGTTGGCGGACAGATGGTCGTACTTTTTCCTGCAAAATGTCTTGATAAACTCCGGAATTCATTTTTCCCATCAATGACAACAATCCGTCCAGGCCCTGAGGCAGCAAAGCAGCCCCCTAACCATGATGCTCCCTCTGCCATGTTTTACAGTGGGGATGAGGTTTTGATGTTGGTGTGCTGTGCCTTTTTTTTTTTTTTTCTCCATACATAGTGTTGTGTGTTCTTCCCAAACAACTCAATCTTGGTTTCATCTGTCCACAGTATATTTTGCCAGTAATGCTGTGGAACATCCAGGTGCTCTTTTGCAAGCTTCAAACGTGCTGCAATATTCTTTTTGGACAGCAATGGCTTCCTCCGTGGTGTCCTCCCATGTACTCCATTCTTGTTTAATGTTTTCCTTATTGTAGATGTGTCAACAAAAATGTTAGCATGTGCCAGAGATTTCTGTAGGTCTTTAGCTGACACTCTGGGATTCTTCTTTACTATATGCAGCATTCTGCGCTGTGCTCTTGCAGTCATTTTTACAGGACGACCATGCCTAGGGAGAGTAGCAACAGTGCTAAACTTTCTCCATTTGTAGACAGTCTGTCTTACTGTGGACACATGAACATCAAGGCTTTTGGAGATACTTTTGTAACCCTTTCCAGCTTCATGCAAGTCAACAATTCTTGATCGTAGGTCTTCTGAGAGCTCTTTTCTGCAAGGCATGGTTCACATCAGACAGTGCTTCTTGAAACCAGTAAACCCAAAACAGGTGTGTGTTTATTAAGGGCAGGACAGCTGTCAGCAACACATCCAATGTCATCACACTGATTGGAGTCAAGGTTGGCTCACTCCTGGCTCCAATTTTCCTCCCTGCACTGTGAATGTTTACATGTTATGTGCAATTAAACCATGGCAACATCTATTGTTTGTGTAGTATTATGTTCAGCAGACTGTGTTCTTCTATTGTGACTTAGATGACGTTCAGAGCACATTTTATGCCCAATTCATGCAAAACTCCACGTAATCCCAAGGGGGTCACATACTTTTTCTTGCAACTGTGTGTGTGTGTATATGTGTATGTGTATATACAGTATATATATATACACACACCATAGTTTGTAGATGCTATAACTTTCACACAAACCAATAATACACTTTATTCATATATTTTTTTTTGTACAAAATGAAAGCTCTGTGTGGAAAAAATAAATGCTTTCTTGTGGGTGAAGTGTTGTATGACTGTGCAATTGCCAGTTAAAGTAGTACAGTGGCACATGGCAAACCGTAGGCTGGTCACAAAGCTTTGGATAGCTTTACTTGATGAGTCACTGACATAGAGAAAACATGGCAGGCCAGGAGTTTGCAGCTTTTCAGTCTTTTTATGTCCTTTATAGTTACTAGGTTTTTAATCCAGGATACGGGCTGACATCCCTACATGTGCAGATTTAAAGTTAATTTAAACCCTCCCTTTTGTGAAACAACCCATACAGTTTAAAATGGAAATGAAAAGCAAAACATGGTGTAAAGATATACAAAACATTATATACGCCACCTCCTACTTTGTTTTTTTGGTTTATTTTTTAACTCTTTGGAGGAGAGCACACAGCTCTCAGCAGAGTTAGGGAACTGACCACACTGAGCTCTCATGGCTGGTGTAGTAAGTTTTTAATAGGAAAGGAGAGGGACTGGCATGAACACTAGGGATTTCATACAAAGGAAGCAATACAAAGAGAACAGGATACTTTTTCATACAAGTACACGAGACAACAGGCACATTTTAGGAATATGAAATGTTGGGTTTGCATTTTCTTTATATAAAAAGTTGGCAGTGCCAACTGCGTTTATTTCTCTCCTCAGCTGTCCATTTTTAAACATGTGTGCTTTGTTCCTTGTGTAAATTGGAAGGACATGCTATTATATCTTTGCATTTTTATTGCAGAACAGAAGAAGTTATCATTCCTTTCCCCAGACACCGTTTCTTCTTCAAATTCCATGGTCAATTCATGTGCCAGAAGCCCTTTAATTGAAGGATGTTCTCCAATCAAGAGTGTGTTTGACAGCAGTCCCCATGTTTGCAGGGACAGTGCACAGTTCCGGACTGCTGTACCATTCTCAATAGAACATCTGGAGGAAGAGAGAGAAAACTCCCCTCCTGCACATGTCTCATCACCTGATGGCAGTATTGTTATACAGTTACATAACCTAGATACATCTTTTCCTGAGGCACACAATATGGACCCACTGACCACTACTGTACAATCAAGAATATGTAAGGAAACCGAAAATGACATGAAAGAAAATGATACTGTAGAAATGGTGGATCCCTGTAGAACTGGAGGATGATCAGATTTGGGTTAAAGCTGCTACAGTGACAGGCAACACTCCAGTGACTAGTTTTATGACTGGAAATACATTTAGCGTTGAGACTTCTCACATGTGTATGTCGCCTTTAGCGGAGAGCAGTGTCCTTCCTGGTGACAGCAGCATTCAGGTAAGAATCCTCATCCTATGAGGAACCAGAGAAAATAAACATATCTACTGTAGTCTTTCAAGTTCAGTTCTTGGGGTCAACTTGCAGGTCATGTTTCTCAGCCTTCTGGGTTGTTGCATAGCTGTGTTTTTAACATAATTTTTTTTTTAATTACTAAGAATTTTATTGGTAGATCTATGAAGACATAGGAACGTACTTCTGTACAGGCTTGATGAACATCAATGGTTGCATGTTTATGGGGCGAAATGATTACTTAAAGCTTAGCTGTGAGCTGGAAGGGGGAAAAAACCCTCTTTGCAGTGGGCCTCCCCCCCTTCACACTGCAATGGCTAAATACTCATCTAGAGGGAGATAAAGAGACTGTGTTTTGCTCGCCTTACTTCCGCTTCAGTGTTCTGGGCAGTAGGCAGTCCTTTGGAATCATCACAGTGGCTAAATGGTTAGCACTTCCACCTGGCAGTACTAGGGTCATTGGTTCAATTCCCAACCACGGCACCACCTGCCTGGAGCTTGCATGTTCTCCCTGTGCCTGCATGGGTTTCCTCTGGGTACTCCGGGTTCCCCCACACTCCAAAGACATGATGGTAGGTTAATTGGCTCCTGTCTAAATTGGCCCTAGTATGTGTATGTATGAATGTAAGTTAGGGATCTTAGGTTGTATGCCCCTTAAGGGTTAGGGACCAATGTGAATGTACAATATATATGTGTAAAGCCCTGTGTAAATTGACAGATAAGTACCTGAAATAAATGATACACTGTAGGGCTAATAACGCTGCAAAACAGTAAGCACGACTAAAATCAGCCACCTAGCAAAACCTGTATACATTTTTAAAAACCCTGAGAATTTTATTAAATCTCATTTTGAACTCTGATTTGCACCGTCACGTGTCACTTGGAACAGAGAGGCATGAGAGAGGATGTTTATGATCAGGGTGTGCATGACTTCTGACTAGAGCCCAATTTTACCTAAGAATTTGCCTAGAGAAATCTGGGTATCCCTCTTCCTATCAGTGCTATTGATAGGTGCTCAGATGTTATAGTATTTGTGTATCCAAACCTAAACAACATTTTTATATGTTGAACTTGCTAATCAATAGTGGTCTTAACCTCCAAAACAAAAATATCATATTGCAGCTTACCAGTTCTTTAGGTATGGTAGCTGCATTAGTTTGCTTTTTTTTTGTAATTTATTTCCACCTGGTAGCCCTGCCAGTAAATCTAATGAATTGTCAGAGCATCTAATGCCAGTCCCAGAGTGTGCTTGGTTGTGGCAAAAACTTTCAACTTTAAAACAAACATAGCAGTTAAAGGGCAAGGACAAACTTTTAACGCTGCAAATGAAAATTGCAACTACCACTGTTTTTTTTTTTTTGTTTGTTTTTTTTTATATATTATTCTGCCTATGCTTTCAGGAAATATATAATTGTATAGGGAATTCAAAATGCTTTTCTTGTCTGTCAAACCTGCTGTCCTGTCTGTCTTTTCTGGGCTGCAAGTGGTTAACTTGCTCTTCAGTAGACAGAAAAAGTATGGAGGGTGCAGGTGTGTTAAAACATGACTTTAACTACCTGCCGACCGCAGATAGCCGAATGACGGCTTCACTGCGGCCGGCCAGTTCTGAGTGGACGTCATATGACGTCCCCCCAGAACGCGCTCTCCTGCGCGCACCCGGCGATCTCCGTGATCGCTGTGTCCTACGGACACAGCTGATCACGTGATGTGGTAAAAGGCCAATCACAGCGGCCTTTTACCACCTGATCAGCGGTGTCCAATGACACGCTGATCAGAGGGAAATGCAAGTGCCGGTTCTCGGCTGCACTTTCCTCACGCTGTCAGATCGTGAGGAAAGTACTGCCGAGAACCGGCAATTGTCAGAGCGGGGATCGGCACCGCTCATCAGTGCCCTGATGATCGGTGCCCAGCAGTGCCACCCGCAAGTTCCGCCCACCTGTGCCCAGCAGTGCGCCCACTAGCTCCGCCCACCTGTGCCCAGCAGTGCACCCACCTGTGCCACTCTGCAGTGCCACCTACCTGTGCCCAGAAGTGCCACCTACATGTGCCCAGCAGTGCCACCCACCAGTGCCACCCACCAGTGTAGCCCAGCAGTGCTGCCAGTCAGTGCCCAGGGGTTGTGCCAGTCAGTGCCGCCAGTCAGTGCCCAGCAGTGATGCCAGTCAGTGCCGTCTATCAGTAGTCGCCTATCAGTGCTGCATATTAGTGCCGCCTATCCGTGACACCTCATTAGTACTGCCTATCAGTGCCCTTTAGTGCTGCCTATCAGTGCCCATCAGTGCTGCCTCATCAACGCACATCAGTGAAGGAGAAAAAATGCCTGTTCTTTTATAATAGAAACAAAGAAACTTTTTTTTTTTTTTTTTTTCAAATTTTTTGCACTTTTTTTTATTTATAGCGCAAAAAGTAAAGCGCCCAGTGGCAATTAAATACCACCAAAAGAAAGCTCTATTTGTGAGAAAAAAATGATCAAAATTTCATATGGGTACAATGTTGCATGACCGTGCAATTGTCAATCAAAGTGCGGCAGCGCTGAAAGCTAAAAATTGGCCTGGTAAATAAGGGGGTATAAGTGCCTGGTAGGCAAGTGGTTAATAGATAATTTACGGTTCCGTCTGTGGACACAGAATTTCCACAGTGTGATGTAAGCACTGCACCCTGAGATTTCTTTGCAGCGGTCAGGCTGTGGACAAAGTAACATGTGCCCTGTCTAGCAGCTGCAGTCCTTCCAGGTGAGACTGCTTTGTAATGCTAACTGGCAACACATTACAGGACTTTCCTTTTTCTCAAGTCTTTCAGGGATACCCTCTTGAATAGATTTTTTTAAGTACTGGATGTGGGAGGGCAAAATAATGCAGACCACAGTGGTCTTCTCAGACCTTGAAAAAACTGGCGTGACAAAAACCTTTGGCTGCTATCACACTGCTGCACTGCAGTTTGGACACAGCGCGGGTGTATCCATGGTTTTCCATAGACTCTTTGTGTGTTTTCTGAATGCGCACCAAAAGTCCTGCTTGCTGGATCTGGTGCACTTTCAGAAAACATACCAAAAACGTGGAGACTGCAGATATACCTGAGCTGTTGCCACACCACAGTACAGCAGTGTGAAACTGGCCTTACTGATGTGACTGGAAAAAAAAAACAAATTGCACAATATTCTTGGCTCTATTTTATATTGCTCTTGTACTGAACTGAGTTACCCATGCATTTTATACATTTGTTTCTCTGCTCAAGGTGTGTGCCTATACCTATAAACACAGTATATGATTAATTTTTTGTCTTGTGTGATTTACAAAGGTGGACAGTGGTTATACTACACAAACGTGTGGATCCAGTTTAATGGATGGAATGAGTGGAGAAGGAGCATACAAAGAGAGTGATGTGCAATTTTCTGAAATTCAGAATGCATCTCAACATGTGAAAACAAAGGTATGCAATAATAGCCAAGCTCTTCATCCTTCCTAGTTGAGCCTTTGTAAGAGTACCAGAGTAGTTTGTAATTTAACCACCTCCCGCCCGTCATGTAAGACAATGACAGGAGCAAGGTGGTTTTCGCGTTATGGGAGGATGTCATATGACGTCCTTCCACTCTAACCGTGCATGCACGGCTCCGGGAGCGCACAGCACGGCGATCGGTGGTGTGCTGTGTCCCTCGGACACAGCGGATCAACGGAAAGAGCTGGAGATGTCAGCTCGGTCATATGATCAGCTGTGTCTAATCACAGCTGATCGCATGTAAATAGGGAAATGCCGGTTATCTGCATCTCTCTCCACTCAAGCTGCCACGATGACAGCTCGAGAGGAGAGCCGGTGATCGGCATTCCTCAGAGGGGACATGTACACTGATCATCAGGGCACTGATGATCAGTGTGCCCTGATGATCAGTGTAGCCCCAGCAGCGCCACCTGTCAGTGTCCATCAGTGTCAGCTGTCAGTACTCACCAGTGCCTACCAGTGTACATCAATGCCACATATCAGTGCCCATCTGAGCTGCCTTTCAATGTCCCCTATCAGTGCCACCTATCAGTGCTACCTAACAGTGCCAGTCAGTGCTGTCTATCAGGGCCAGTCAGTGCCGCCTATCAGTGCCATATGAGTGCTGCCTTTCAGTGCCCATCAGTGATGCCTATCAGTGCCCATAAGTGCAGCCTATCAGTGCCCATTACTGCAGCGTCATTAGCGCACATCAGTGAAGGAGAAAAATCACTTATTTACAAAATTTTAAAACAAAAACTAAGAAAAAACGTTTACAAACCAAGATAACTTAGTGTTGCATCTGAACACCAAGCTGTCCACATCTGGAGTCCTTCATCTCTGACATCAGGATGAAGATGTGGGGGTGAAGGACCCATTCCTGTTGGTCCAGACAGTGATGATTGAGGTAATCTGCCTAGTTGTCTACTCCTGGGATGCGGACAGCAGAGATCGCTTGACCGTGTTTCTCTATCCTTGAGATGATCTGGCTTGTGTCCTTCAAGGTTGCATTAATTCTGGTATCCGCTTGGTGATTGATATATGCCATAGCCATGGCTTTTTTCTGATTGCACCCTGACTGGGTGTCCCTGTTGAAAAGGGGTCCAGTAGTGAAGAGCCTTCCTTCTCACTCTGAGCTCCCAGATGTTGATGAGGGGGGGGATTGGCTTCCTCTGGTGACCATGTTCTTTGTGCCGTAAGGGATTGGAACACTCCTTCCCAGCATGAGAGGCTGCCATCTGTTATCACTTCCAGTGATATGGCAGAAAAGACTTCACCATTGTCAAGATCAGATTGGAAATCCACCATGCTAAGGAATTTCTGACCTGGCTTGACAGGAGCATGGGTAGATCAATAGAAAGTAGTGTGCTTTTTCAATGGCCACAGAGAATTGTGTT